CCCCAAAACCCCAAAACCCCAAAACCCCAAAACCCCATTAATAAAAATAATTATTGAAACCCAAGCTCTCTAATGAGTCGGAAAGAGTTTACAACACATCTGGGTGATCACAACATTGTGGCTTCTAAGGTCATCCCCTCCAATGTAAGTCATGTCTCAGAATAAGTATGAGCCAAGGATAAAATATAATATAGATGCATAAGTGGGATTTAATCAATAGGAATTCAGTAGATTGGAACGATAGAACTAGCAATCAGATTTACAGATCCATGGAGAATCCTCCTAGAATCCGTATTTAAGAAACATAGACGAGTGAGAGATAATATGTAAGTTTCTTATAATGCTTCTAGGCTCAGATTATCAGGAAGCCAGTTCCAAAACCCAAATATGCATGATTACGAATAAAATTAGTATGACTAATGTACCTTTGGTCCAGCAACTCGAAAGTGAGAAGCTAAGGCGAAGGAAGAAGCTTAATCCAGTCAGATCATACGACTTCAGCACAGAAAGTTTACCTAATAAAAGTCAGAGTTATTTATATTATATGAACCGACGAAGTAGGCCTAATAAATGGCCAGGCTATTCATTAACTTAGAAATGATACTGGGTTAGACTCTCAACTGGTTTTCCCTAGTGATGATATCACCAATGAGACCATTCGAAGGGATAATAAAAGAAGAGAAGAGAAAATGAATGCCCAAAAACGATTTGATGACTTGTATCAATATCTTAACGCTAATAATAAGACTAAAACAGTGTCAATGGCGAGAACTGGAAAAACTAGAAATATGCTTACATTGTCTCGTAAAAATGAGAAATATACAAGAATGCAGTGCAGGCTAAAGCCAATTCAAGAAATTAATGAGCCTGAGTCTGACTATTTAATGAACAATAATAATGATAATAGCAAGGTAAGAATGAAATTCGGTGATATTTTTATATTTTGGGAATGTTTTGCAAAAAGGAGTTCATCTCACGATTTAGATTGCAAAAAATTTCAGAAAATTTCAGAAAAGCTCAAAAATATTAAATAGATCATTAAAAAGGACTGATGGTGGGAAAACTATAGACCCAAATTACAAAATGATTAGAGATCGTATAGAATTATCTTTAATTCCATAGAACGAAAACTAAACTCCTCTACTAGTAAGAAAAATAACATTAAGAAACAAATTCCAGATAAACATGGTAGAGAACGAGTGAACCCTAAGAAGATGTAACTCATCTTGTTCAAAGTTATAGGGAAAACACCTTAAAGCCACCAAAGAGTCATCAACCTTTCTTTGATAGAGGCCCTAAGAGTCGTCAAGAGAGATCAGATTCATATTTTGTGAAAATCCAAAAGCCTGGAGATGATCCCAGAATACTTACTCCAAGCTTAAAAGAGCTGCCTCCTTCTTTGGCTAAGAGAAGGAATGCTATAAAGTCTGATTTTAACAAGATAAGGTACGGTCTCAGACTAATTAATACAGTTTGATGGGCTCAACTGTGAAGAAAGAAAACGAAAAACCAAGAATTATACACAGCACTCTCTTAAACCAAGACGATAGCTTTGATCTAAGTGATCTTGATCGAAGTAATTTACTCTCTGATAAAACTAATCCAATAGGTTACCTAGAGAATGAGTCTTTAGGAACACTTGAAAGAGAGATACCTCAGGATATGACTGAGAGCAAATTTCTAGGAGAGATTCCTGACTCATCTCCTCCTCAAAAGGCTCAGTATGATTGTGTTTAATCTCTAGAGATTCAAGTAATAAGGAGGGATTTAGTAATTCAAAGAGGCTTAAGAGATTACCTATCATTGCAGCTCCAAAGACACAGATATCTAAGCCTAAAAGTACTTTATACAATCAAGTTTAGAGTTTAACAAACAGGAGACTAAAGATATCCAAGAGCTTGAGAAGAACAGAAAGAAGATCATAATGTTGGATCATCAGAAGCGGTATGATAACTCTGAGCCCCATGCTTTAAGGAGACTAAGGGTTATTCATAAAAGCATGGATAATTCTTGACATGATACTTTTGTTAGAAATCCAGAAAGAATGCTTTCAGTAAACTCTGCCTTTATAAAATAGGAGAATATCAAAATTTCAACGATGGAAGAATCGAAACTGCATTTAACTGTAGATGCAGATGAAGCAGGCTCATTTGTGTCACAATCTTCGGCTTTGCAGAACTCTATCGAGACGGAAGAGATTCCAATGAATGAGTCATATAGTTCACTTAACACGATAATTGAGGCTAATGATATCCCATACTCTTTTATGTCGAAGCCAAGTATGTCTTTACCTAATATGTAGCTGTCCAGCCTACGAAGTCAAAGAAAAGTATTAAGGTTTATCCAAAGAAGAAGACTAATAAGCTAAATTCGAAGGAAAAATTTGGAGAGAAAAGTGCTAAACCTGAACGAATAAAGATCCAATCAAAGAAGCTAACTCGGAAGATAGACAAGTTTGTAAACGACAATCAGGACAGCAAGTACCAACATTTATTTCAGAAGGCATCTTCTGGGATATTTGAGTAGCTATAAGCAAGAATCTATTAATTTAGAATATTCCGCAGTATTCTCTCTAACATAATTTTATATTTCTCTAACAGTAGGACTATGGAATAGGGCTATAGAAAGTAATAGATAAGTTATTCATTTATTAAAAATTTCTCTCATTAAGCTGTCTTCCTCTTGGCTGTTTCTTAGCATTGCATATTTTAGGGGTCTAAAATATTGTATACCTGCCACTCAAAGAACGCTAGTGCTTCTTTTGAAGTGCATTAAATTTGTTGATCTTTTAAAACTTTCAATTCCTGAAGAGTCATGAGGGGTTTTGGGGTTTTGGGGTTTTGGGGTTTTGGGGTTTTGGGG